TGCTCTAACCAATTAAGCCACCCCCTCCCCCTTTGTTATTATGAAGTATTTCATATATTTAAAACAGTATAAACACATATGCATGACTGATCTTCTGCCAGTCCTCATCGTTGTGGCCATTCATCTATGGCCAGTGGTGACCCTGGTTATTCCTGGTTAATGCCAGTAGCTATTCTGACTGGTCGGTGCCTGAGAGGCACTGGTTGTTAAATATTTTTATTTTCACTTCAGCATATATGTTATATATGAAAAAGAATAATAAACACCCATGTACAATCCCCCTTAGAAATGGAGCATTATAAAAACTTTCAAAGGCATTTTTAATGGGTAAAACATTGGCACCGTTAAAAATTCAGCAAGTATGAAAAGGCATTCAGCGAAGTCTGCCATCAGATCTCTGAGCTGCCTCATCTCCAGGGCTAATGATAGTTTCTCATGTATTCTTTCAAAGAGTTTATTGTATAGACAAAACAAAAATGTGCACAGGCATTGTTTCTTCTTTTTCCACTGATGATAGCAGATAATACACAGTGTTCTGATCCTTTTCTTCTTAGCCTAACAGTGTATCTTGGAGATCTTTCCACTTCAGTGCATAAAAAGAGCTTTCTTTGTCTACTGTTAAGAGCTGGGTCGTACGTCTTCATTGTGCAGCTTGTTCTGTAATTTACCTAGTGTCCTACTGATAACATACAAGGTGATTTACAGGTACTGGCTATTATCATCAGTAACTTTGTACACACTCACAGATCTGCCAGTATACCTGTAAGGTAAATTCTTAGAAGTGAAATTGCTGGATTAAAGGAGATGTGCATAAGGGTTCTAACAACAGGTTATGTGCAGATATAGCTGTAAGATAAAGTCCTAGAGTAGAATTGTGGGGTCAAAGAGCATGTGTATTTAGATTGCAGATATGCCCTCACTGGGTGCTGTATGAACTACATGAAAGTAACACAGTGTATTAATCGACTTCTGACTTTTTTCCAATTTGGGAGTGCTCCAATTTGGGTGCTATCTTACATAGTTTTATTTTATGCTTCCTTCATTGTAAATGAGGCTATCTACCTTTGTATATATTTAAGAGCCATCTGTAGTTCCTTTTTGGGAACTGCCTGTTGATACCTTTTTCCTATATTTCCATGGGATTGGTAGTCTTTTTATTGATTTTTCAGGAGCTCTTAACATATAAGAGAGATTAGCCCTATGTGGTACAAAATGCATTTTTTTTTCCCATTTTGTCATTTGCCTCTTGACTTACGGTGAGTTTTGCCATGTGGAAAGGCCTTTATTTTTGCGTGGGCTGTATCACCTTGGTCAACCTCAATTACCTTGAGAACTGCCAGTTCTATGCTGACTCCCTGGGCAACGGGTCTCAGTAACAAGGGCAACGACGTATTTAAAGGCTGCGTAGAGCAGGGGTTGACAAACCTTCCCTGTAAAGAGTCAGAGAGTAAATAATTTTGACTTTGTGGGCCATCCGGTCTCTGTTGCAACAGCTCAGCTCTGCTGTCATAGTTTGTGAAAGCAGCTATTGGCAAGACATAAACAAATAAGGCTGTTTTCCAGTAAACCTGTACTGACAAAAGCCAGGTGGTAGGCTGCATTTGGCCCAGGGGCCATAGTTTGCTGACCCCCGGCTCAGACACAACTGGGGGGCCTTCCTACTCGTCTGTGAATCTGACCGCTATGATATTCAGTCTCCCCCTCTGTCCACCCTCCTTGGCAGAAAGATTGCTTCCCAGAGTTCCCCTGGCTGAGTCCCAACCTCCTTGCCTGTGGAGGTCCTAGCTGCTCAGCAAAAACCTACTCTGGCTTCCAGATTTGGAACCAAAAGGCCAGCTTCCCTGGCAGCTGCAGGCAGGCAGCCCATGGGTTTCTATGCTTTACAGCTAACTTGATAAGCTTGGTTGCTGCCCTCTGCCTGCGCCTCAGCCAATGAACCACTCAGCATATGCATGTTAGTAACGGTGGGGGGACAATGCTTTCTCGACGTGCTACTACAAGTTCTGCGACAATGGAAAATGCTGCAGAAGAATCGCTGTCTGTGGGACTTTCCTTCCAACACAGCCCACTCTCAAGCCACCTCCACGGCCTCAGGCAAGGCTTGGTCTAAGAAACCAGTTCTTGTTCATCTCCTCTGTGTGTAAGAAAACCTAATAACGTGTTGAATGAATAGGAAAAACAGTATAAAAATCATACAGTTGTGGTGTCAGAGGAGTACTAGACTTAATGTGGTGATCACCTTATGAGTTATATCAATGTCTAATCACTATGTTGTACACCTGAAACTAATATAATATTCTCTATCAACTGTAATTGAAAACTAAATTTAAAATAATCATACAATTGTTTCAAGTGGTTCAAGAAAAATCTTGCTTTTGAACTTTTTCTGCAGTAGGCTCTTTCTTGCATTGGACAGGACTTCGTCTTAATCAAGG